TTGCTTTATGGATCTTTTGTGTAATTGCTGTAATATAAAAGGACAATTTTGTTTTGTATGTTTTTAATGTTTCATATGTTATTTATTGGCGGAAAACTGCCTGGAGTCCTGGAATCTGGACAGTATAAGGACAGGAGGGGAAAAAAGAGATTAAATAGATCAATTTATAATTTAAACAATTTACAAATATTAACAATTCAAATTTAGTTATGAAGAATTACAGTGTACTATCTTCACATATTATGATTAAAATTAATTCTTCCTGGTTAATGTACTTTAGTATTTAAATCTTTAGAACCACATGAGAAGAAAATAGTAAAGATCAATCAGCTAACTTACAACAGTTTTATTGTTTTACTATAAAGCTCCATATTTATTCTGGATTGCCATCAATAGAATTATTGTCCTTTGCATTTTTCCAACAAATATGATGTCAGCAAAAGGCAAAACAAACATTTTATATATATATTAGTATGCTTAAATTTAATATTCAGAATTTTTAAGATTTTTTTTTAAAAATTACAAACAACCAGGAAACAAATCCAAATGAATTGCAAATTTTAATCTCAGTATAAAAAGCCCTGCCTGAGAGATTGATTTTGCCCTGTTGGGGGAGCCTCTCTCCCAAGCAACATTTCTGCTCTCAAAGAGGCTGAGTAAAAAAAGTTTCCCAAAATCCAAGTAGGGTTTTGGCACAGGGTATTTGCAGCATAGGATGTTTGCAGCCGCCCTCCCCCCAGAAGGAAGACAACTCCCTCTCGTTTCTAGAAGCCATCTCCTAATGCCCAATGCTGCAAATGCTCTGTGCCAAAATCCTGCTTTGATTTTGAGTTCCTTGCTGCCTATAGAGGGGTTGGGAACTGCAACAAGATCTGGGTTTTTCCCCAGGCCAGTGTTACTGTTCCCTTCTGCGCACAGAGGGGGTACACCTGCCCCCCTTTAACAGGCAGTTCTTTCACTCTATCCACTTAAAGTTAACAGCAATAACAGATTTTGTGCAGTGCCAAACTGAACAGATATTAATTACAATCATTTTTGGAGGGAGAAAAGAATTAACCCTTATCGTTGGGAAGAAGGAAATTATATCATTTTTGGAGGAAGATACTCTTCTATGCACAGGAGGCTCAGGAGTCCAGAAGCAGGTAGGCCACACCTCAAGCCTGGAAAACAACTACCTGCCTGCTGTCCCAGGCAAAAGGTACAAGCTTGCTGCTTTAGCTTACCTGCAGCAGAGGTGAATGCTTGCCATTGCTATAGCATGGAGTGATAAAGAACTCTACCCCATGATGGAGATTTTTTTTAAGATTTATATTTTTAAACTATATTTTTTTCCTAAAGTATTAAAAGAGCAAGACAGAAGTTTTTTGAGCAGCATAGCTTAATCTAACAGGAAAAAAAGGGAAATGGGCTCTAAATTTGAGAAATGTGTGGTAATAACAAAGTAAACACAGAGGGTGAAAACACTGCTTCACAACTATTTTAAAAACCTCAGTTCAGACAGATATGAACAGCAATACAAAATAAAATGTATGTTTAAAAAAACCAATAGCAAAGCTGCTATGCAAAATATATCATTGGAACTAAAGTAGGTACACTATTTAAAAAGATAAACTTAGTAGTACATATTTTAAAAAAAATGTTTAATTAAGAGAGGTACTTCACCTTACAAAGCAAAAGTAAATGTTAATAGAAATCACTAAGCAAACAAGTATTGCTAGAAATCGCTAATGTAGCAGATGGTGATCATGGAATGTCTATGGAGATTCTCAGCCATCCAGGTCATGGTTGTCCCAAAAGTGCTTTTTCAAGAGGCAACTTGACTTCCATGTTTTTCTTTGAAGATGTTTTGCTATCTTGAGCTCTGACTCCATTCCCCACCATCCAGTCAGAGCTGAAGAAGCTTCTTGGATGAGAAGTGAAATGTCTTCAAAGAAAAACAAGAAAGTCCAGTTGCCTCTTGAAAAAGAACATTTGGGACATGGAATTAGGATATAAAAGATTATAAGTGAAACTTGCAATTTATTCCTGAAACTATACTTCCCTCGTTCAGTATTTTTCTTCTTTTTTTCTCTTATTTATGCTTGGAGATTTTTTTAAAACAGAGAGAAAAATAAATTATTACCATATTTGCATTATATTTCAGGAACATGTCTACTAATAACGTATCTAAATTCATGTCCCAACACATGCCAAATTAATAAAAATGCATCTGTTTCAATGAACACTATTTGCTTAAAATTACTGAATACCTGTGCTATGTTTCATATTCAATCATCAAAAGAAGAGGAAATAATATTGTCAAGATGTCCTTATGCTACCATTGTTAGATACAATTTTAGGGTATGTTTTTCCTTTGAGCTAAAGCCATATCTTTTGTGCAAAAACTCGCTTTTTCAGGAACAGCGATGAGAGTAATCAAACAATAGGACTGTATTCTAAAGTCCTTGATCAAAGCTAAGAAAGAAAGAAACTCGATGGGAAAGGAGGAGATACAACATATTTTAGAAAAGACAAAGGGGTTCCTGGGACCATCAGCTACCTCAAGATATATACATTTGCCACTTGAGAAATTTTATCTAAGGTGTCTGTTTTTTCTCACATTTTAAAAAATGAAACACACCAATGATTTGTTGCCTATCATACATTGAGATATATGTAATCACCTGTACTTTTCAAAAGTATTGGATATTTCTCTCTCAAATTCAGGGACTAAGTTCATTCCAACTCTATGCCAGCTCAGGTGTTTTGAGTTTTATGGGCAACACCATGGACAAGAAACAATATTAGGTATTGGTAATAATAGGTAGATTGGTTTGTACTGTACAATTAGATGAGGGTATCTACTTATCCGTAAAGCATAGCCTCAGAGCCCTTATATAGCTTCTAGCTTATAAAAGATGTTATGCAATAAATATCTTAGAATTTGGAATTTGTATTTTTAAAAAATACAGGCTGGCACATAGACTGAATAAAATCTCAGGCACCGTATTTTTTCATAATTTACACAGCTGTTATTGCTTCTATAATTAGGATGTTTTGAGGCAATATGCTTACAAGAAAGCTTATCTCCATTATTTTACAAATGAAAAATGTGTACACAGAGAGAATGTGTTATATCTAATTTACTTTGTAAACAAAAGTTTCTACCAAAGATACTAAGTAAGCCAAGCCAGTATAGCGGCATAAGAATTAATACAATTCCAGATCTGAAAAATGGGGTAAACAGAAATATCAAGAGAGGAAAGAAGTAATATTTATATGTATATCTAAATACAGTACCATGGGTATAGTTATAAGACAATATTCAGAAGACCACAGCATCCTGAAATTCTTACAATGATCAATTTTCATATACATGCATTTTTACAGTATTATATTATCATGAACACATTCCTCCAAAAGTATAACATTCTCTTGCAAATCAATATGTCATTTTGATTTGATATCAGGTTTTCAAAAAAAATACTTTTTGTTCTCTGAACACAAGCATAAAATCTTTGTATGTAATTTTTAAAAAAAATCCTATTCAGTAATTTGAGGCAGTGAGCCAAAGAATCAGTTTGGTGTAGTGGTTAAGGCATCAAACTAGAAACCAGGAGTTCCAGTCCTGCCTTAGGCACAACGTCAGTTGGGTAAGCTTGGACTCTGTCTTAGCCTAAGGAAACAAACAAGGGCAAACCACATCTGAAAAACCTTGCCAAGAAAACTGCAAGGATTTGTCCATGCAGTCATCAAGAGTCAAGACTAACTCAAAGGTACAAAAATAAATAACTTGAGGCAAATCATGCCTGCATATTTATGAATGATTACTGTCATAAAATTAATCTCTTTCATTTTTTTGCCTCCTGCAGAGACCATGCCAAAATGTATAATTGTATGGATATAAAAAATAAGTGCAATATTTTTTTTCCAAGATAGAAAGAACATTGATGTTTTTATTGTGAGAAGGAGCTCTTGAGAACACCATGGACAGCAAAGAAAAAGAAATAATTTTCACTTCAGGTACAAACAATCAGGCTCAATTTATCATATTGTGGATATTTTATGAGAAGACCCACGTCTTGGAAAGTCAATAATAGGAAAGGCATGAGAAAAGACAACAACCAGCAACAAGGTAGATGCACTTGATTATAGCAGTGGTAAGTACACCTTTGGGAGATGTGTAGGGTCAGGCTAGGGACAGATTAACCTAGAGGACGTCCATCAATGTGTTGCTAATAATCAACATCACACCAAATCAATTTCTACTTTCAACATAGGAACTTAGTAATTATAGTTTAGCTGGGATCAGTTTTTTAATCTTAAGCATGTTTTATTTTGGGTTATCCAAACATTGGAATCCATTTTAAAGCCAATGAAAATAGTGCCAAGAGCCTTAATAAACACTGTTTTATGTCAAATATTGTTACAATTAACTGTCAGGAAAATTAATACCTTACAATGTACTACAGATAGTCCTCGCTTTCCAACCATTCATTCAGTGATAAAAGTTATGATGGTACTGAATGAGGGTGACTTAAGACAGTCCTCAAAATTGCAGCTTCTGCAATGTCCTCATGGTCACGTGATTGTGATTTGGGCATTTAGCAACTGGCTTGCATTTACATTGGCTGCAGCATTCTGCAGTGACATAATTACCCTTTGCAACCTTTCCTGCTGCTTTCCCATAAACTGTCAATGGGGAAGCCAGCAGAAGGTTGCAAGTTGCTTGGGTAAGTTGTTCCCATTGCTTTTTCTACTGAGGAGGAAAGGAGCCTATGAGTGGGAAGATGAGGGCGGACCCCGATTACTGCCCATACTGCATCAAGTCCCCCAGGTCTAGCATTGTCACACTTGTACCACAGCACACCTTCCCCCACCCAGTTGTACTAATTCCAATTCAATTATTGTTGTTAAGTGAGAACTACCTGTATATCATTTGTTTTTAGTTACAAACAATACAATTCTTTTTAAAGCAACATTAGCAACAGTATCCTAACATAAATTAATGTAAATTTTACCATAGAAGAGACTGATCTGGCATCCTCCTCATAATTTACAACAGGTGGGGGCTCTTTCCCATCATTTTCTTGCACTTTTTGTTGAAGAAGTTCCTTCTGAGCTGCAAATTTGACTTCAGTGCATTTCAGCTGCTGAACAGTTTGCTTTAATTCTTCAAGAGCTTGCTTCTGGCTTAGCAGAAGCACAATGCTGAAAAGAACAGCATCAAAATTATACTAAAAGTAAACTGGAAGATTTATTTCATTTCTCAAGACTATAACAGATAATATATCTTTAGCAGATTTAAGATTTTATAAGGTGGAATTAACACTACATGGAGTTGAGTGGTTATAATTGTCAGCTTGTTTTTCTCCCTTAAAAAAGCTTTATTTGTAGAGCCTAATTTAAGGAAGAACAGGATAGGAATCTGTTTAGGCTGCATTTAAAAATTAATGTGGATGAAGAAGTTAATAAATAACAATCTAAAGAAGAAATCCATGCAAATTTCCCAAATTCCATATTACTGAATTAAAGAAATACAGAGTTTAGTATCATTACACTCATTCAAAGGAAAAAGGAAATAAATTATGCATTACAGACTCAATAAATAAACAATAAAAGAATTAAAGAAAAATAATGCTAGAAGTACTATAAGATTTTTAAAGAGTTTTACATTAGCTTTAAAATCAGTTATTAAATATAGTCAATAATTCTAGACTTACAAAGAGGGTGCAATGAAGCATGATCTTAGCTAATGAGTTACAGTGCATCATCTAGATCTCATTTTCATTCAAGAATCTTATATGAAGAACTTGGAAAATTAATTTTATATATAATACACTGCCATGTTGCCATTTACTCACTCAGATTTTCTTTCACAGATCTTAGAAGACTCTTCAATCTTCTTTTCTAATTCCAGAACTAGTTCCTCCTTATTTAGAAGTGTCTGCTGTGTCTGAATCAGTTCTTCTACTACAGTTTTTAACCTATGATTTAAATGAATACAAATATAATTTGTGACTATTTAGCAGCACTTTCTTTGTATTTCTCAATGGAAAAATTCTTTTTCTCATAATTATCACATTTAGTTTTTCTTTGTATTATTTACTATTATTAAGTTTATTTTATTTGTAAACTGGTTAGAGTGGTTAAATTAAAGAAATCTATAAATTTCATAAATAAAATGGAAGCTAAAAAGAATTTATAGTTTATGTGGAATCTTTTCAGGCTGTCAAACTCCATCATCATTTATATTTTATGCCATTCTTTAAAAAAATATCAAGTACTTTTATAAAAAAAAGAAGTACAATAACAGGAACAATAGTATGCTAAACATATTGCAAACAAACTAGAATTTAATGGGTTTCATTTTGAGATTATTCTGCCTATAATATAGTTTCAAATAACATAAATGCAATAAAGCTCTACAAATACATTTTTACTACATATAAAAACAATCTTCTTTAGCTCATTGAATTTATTTATATGCTGTTGGGCCTTTTTTGTTATGAACTAATTATGTTCATTTAAATGTAGAAGAATTAATTTGCTATAAGGACAACAATTAACAGTTTAGAAACTTGTTATATGAGAACCATAACTATCCTACAGTAATAATATAAATTCATTAATTCTTAATGACCAGTTTAAAAAAATGCACTGCCCTTTTAATATGTTTATACCAGCCTGAGAACATTTGAATTCTGAACTGCAGGCCAAGAATAATAACCTTTCACTAAAAAAGTATCTCTTACAATGTTCCATAGAAATGAAGAGTTGGAAGATTCACTAAGTCAGCTAACTGCACTGAGACACATTAATTTTCTCCAATCTGTCCAGTACTAGGACAAAACTTATCATCTATTATCTCAAGAATCTGAATTATACAGTAGCATAGAACAATGTCAAATTAAACAGAACATACTAATTTACTAGATTTATTAACTTAGCACTTCCAATTTTCTTTGCTTTCACGATTCATCAATAAAGGGATCATAACTAAAAATTCATATAACAGAACTTTTCCAGAGAACATTTCATTTTCTATTTTATGCTACGCATATCTTATTTCAAAGCTACTAGGTACAGTGCAGTATCTTGTTCCTCATACAATCAAACAGAGAAAAGACAAGCCCTAATGGTGATTAGAAGTCTGATAGCTTAGAACATGCTTCTTTTTATTACGAGAAATTATGATCACAGTGGCAAGATCTTTTAATAATTAAATCCTGTATTGAAAGTTGTGAGCAGAAGTTAATTTCACTTACAAACAGGAAATTATTAATTTTTCTTTTCAAGTATTTCACAGCAATGAGAAGTTCATCAACTTCCTTGTACATCTTTTGGGAGGTTATGGTCAACCCTGATGATGGTACAGAAATGAGAAACCTTCTTACATAAATGAAAGCAAGTTCTGCACATGCATGGGGGAAATGTAAGGTGCTATCATGCTATAACAAAAATTATTTATCTACAGACACACTCCTTACATGCAACGATATATTTTCTGATATATAATTATTAGTCCCATGGGAAGGAGTAAAAAATAATGAACATGTTTACTTTGTTTCATAATATTCATATACTTTTCTAATGCACAGACCCCAGATGGTCTATCATTCAAAATTTAACCCAAATCGTACCACCCTCACCTACATTAAAACAATCATAGTTCCAAGCTAGATAATTGTGTATTATTCCTCATTCTGGGCTAAAGGCTTGTTGAACAAAAACAATCTTTAGTGAGTTTCAAAGTATCACGAGAAAAAGGACAAAAGTTCAACTTTGGGCTGACTGCCACAGAAATTTCTGGTTCACATTCCCTTTCTTGTGGCAGTTGAAAATTTTGGGTATGTTTTCTAGACAAAATCATGTTTAATTAAGGCTGACTCTTATGTGTCCCAACAATGTGCCAGGTCTTTATAGTTAATAGTACTTTGAATTTTGAACTGGCCATCAAAACTTACTGGTAAAAGGTCCAAAACAGGTACATGAAAATCCCCAGTAGTGTCTCTAGTCATTTGCTACATTTGAGCCAGCTGCAGGTTCTGAGTCATTACTAAAGGCAACCTGTATGGTTTGCACTGTAGTAACCCAAATTTGTGCTGATTAATGCAACAGTTATAATTACCAAATATTTGGGCTCCAAATTGGTGTTATAACAAAAATGGATAAAAGTCCTTCCAACAACAATGAGCCGAGGTGGCGCAGCAGTTAGGGTGCAGTACTGCAGGCCACTTTAGCTGACTGTGTTCAGCAGGTCAGCGGTTCAAATCTCACCGGCTCAAGGTTGACTCAGCCTTCCATCCTTCCGGGGTAGGTAAAATGAGGACCCAGATTGTTGGGGGCAATGTAAATATATATATACATTGCTTACTGGTGTATATCGCTTAGAGAGTGCTTGCACTTAAAGCGGTATATATAAGTCTCATAAATAAATAAATAAATAAATAAACAACCCCAGTGATTATGCTGAATATGGCTGTTGATTCCATTGACAAAATGCATAGAACAGATGTTTTACTGTTTTTATTATCACTGTGTAGACCCAAATGGGTCTCATTTTTTATTTTATATCACCATTGATTCCAACATTTTTTCACTTCCTTTCACTCCTGAAGCTCCTCCGATAACTGGAGAACAGAAGGAATTGGCAACTGAGATTGGGTGATTAGAACAATCTCATCTAGCACGTGGACCACCTCAACGTAATGGAAATTAACAAGGCATAATGATAAACTCTTAAGTTACATTTAGACTTCTACTGTTCATATTCAAAATCAGACATAACCATCTCCACTTTTTCTTCTCTCCATAATCTACTACCTATTATAAATAAATCATCCAGAGCCTACCTGTTTATTAAGTAAAGCAAGGGCTCCTCTTCAATTTTCTCACTCAAAGGGGATCCTTGCAGCATATCAGCCAAGGAGCCTAATATTATAGCCCATCACCAATCCACAAGCTATGTTTTCAAATAAAGCCCTCAACTCTTTCCTCCAGCTATCACCAAACAAGTATTTAGAAACCTGTTGCCATAACAGCTTCCAGTCTTCTACTCTTCTGGCTTCTGCTCCAAACCTTGCAAACAATTCTCTACTCTTTGTCCTGGTCTCTACCATTCTCACTGATCTTTGCCAGGATATTGTTCCAGCCACAAATGTTACAGTATTTTTATGGATGGGCCACCTCCTTGCCTCTCCTGTGACTTCCTGATCAACAATGGCAGTTATTACTCTGTTCTCTCTTTCTTCTGCAGCTGTCTCTGCAAAATATAAACCAGCAGCAACTTTGCTTACTGTTCATAGCCTCTGCCACTATCCAGAGTCAACTCCAGTCGGCTTGCCTCCCCAACTGGGCATAGGTCCAATATCTTATTTTCACTACTCTTTCACTACTCTTAACTTTTCCCTCCCTAACATCCCATATCCCATTCAACATCTTCTAATTTAACCTTCCTTCCAACATATCATTTAACATCCAACAGTTTCTCACTCAAGTTAGTTTTTACATATGGTACAGCTGGTTTATTGTCAAAACAAAACAGACAATCTGGACCTTCCTGTAAAACAAGAGTGCTATCCAGGACATTACATAATTCAAACAGGAGAGAGAAAAATACGAAGGTTGATTTCACGATATATAAGACATTATTTTGATACAAAGTGGTCCAGTTTTAGATGCATTTTTGTTACATCATTTCTATGGGCATATGTTCTTTTTGATGTGTGGAAATTGCTGTGTCACGGAGTTCTTATCCCAGATGCTGTAAAACCTTGATTTAATAGAATCCCATTTAGCAGACTTCAAGTGCAATCAATCAAATTTCATCCAGATCTTTCCTCTAAATAACAGATGTCCACTGTGTCTGAAATAAATTGATGCAAATGACACAATTTGTGACATTTGCATAATGACATCATTATGAAATGCCCTACGTAGTCCTAATGATGAACTTTAATATTAAATGGACATTGAAGAGTAACAGAACTCCCTCTTCCTAAGTGGGAATTTCACTGTCATTATTCTCCAACTTTCTCTAAAGTAGCCATCATCCAGCCACAATCTTACACAACTCTTTTATGTAATTCTTTGCAAAAGTATACAGACCCACATTTCTGAAAACTTAAATTAAGAAAGTAAAATAATTTTGGACAGCACAACCAATTTGATTTATATTGCATTTAGTATACAACCTGGTCATTAAAAAATGGGGAGACAGAGAATGGCTATAACTTTCTTATAAAATATTTTATATTACATAGATTGTTCCTGATTCAGCATAATTTTTATATCCTACACAGACAAAATTGAGAAGGAAAAAAGAGGCTAAATTACTTACATAGTTTGTAAAGCTTCAGCTGTCAAATTATTCCACATAATCTCATTGGCTTGAAGATTTTCATTTTCTTCTAATAATGATGTATCAAATTCTATTTCTTGTTGTTCAATATCTGATGTCCTTTAGTTAAAAAAAGCAATAATAATACACGTGTAAGGCACTTCTTTTTTAAAACCACTTGGCTGCCATTTTTAAGAATCTACTCAAAAAATTGATGAGCGCCTAGGATTACCCTTCCTCAGGAGAAAGAAAAGAAAAAGGAGAAAAAAAAGAAATTATTTAAAATTGTGGTTGCAGTGAGTAACAAACTTCCATCACTGATCGCTATATTGGGAAGGTTAATTATAAGTTAAGATGCATTGGCCCTGGCAGTTATAATTTAAGATTAGTTGAATAACCCATACTGCTTTACAGTTACACAATATTTTCTGGCATAACTATGCCATACCATGTAAATGTTCAAAATCTACTCCCATTTTATTTCTCTCTCCCTCTCCCATCAGTTTTGTGTTATATGTTGTAATGGTTTCTCATTCATTCATTCATTCATTCATTCATTCATTCATTCATTCTCTGCTGGAGATGGATGGTTAAGAAATTTATCTAGGCTTCCGGTTTGTCGCGTGGCTGCCATCGATGGCTGGGAGATTTGCCGCATCGCTGGGGGACCCCGAAAAGGGCCGAAAGTCACCCTGAAGAGGCGACCAGCAAGGAGGGGCTTTCAATGGATCGCGGGAGAGCAGCAACTCTCCTGTTAGAGCTGGCGATCCCTCCAAACCGGCGGATGAAAGGACCAGCCATAGAAATATGGCTCGTCCCTAGGCTGCTGACAGCCGAAGTTGCATTTACCATCTGGCAACTTTAAAGCAGCGTGGAAGAGACTGGGTGAGATTTACCTCTCTTACATCCTAATTACTTAATTACCTGCATAAGCTGCTAAAGTACTTTCTCCCCTATGGTGAGGGAAGGGGGATTTTAGCCCTCCCTCCAGAAACAGCAGTGATTGACCACTCAGGGGAGTTTAAAACGTTGGAAAAATACTGGGATCCTAATTGGAATTCTATTTCCTAAAATTGGTGGATTATAAGACTTGTTAACTTTCTATTCTCTATTTTTTTTCTCTGATTTTTACTCTATTATTGAAGATTTTTTCTTAAAATAGAGGGGGGAAACTGAAAAGATCCAACTAACTCTGAGTTGACATCAGGTGGCTAAATTTGAGACTGTAACCTGCTATTCTTTAAGAGAGACTTGTTGACAGCTTTGAAAATAGATAAGATATAAAGCAACCTTGAAGCGCCAGCTGCAAGAAGCTCAGCTCAGCTCCTCACTTGGTGGACTGTAAGGTTTTTTTTAGTTTAATATACTACAATGGAAGAAGAACAGGAATGGATTTCTCCCACAAAGAAGTACAAGAACAAATTCTTTGTATGTTAAAAGCAATTATCCAAACTCTCCGTATAAGTCTGGATATGCAAACTCAAACTATGACTTCAAGCAGAGAATCATCTATACGGAATTCTATAGAGAAAGTGAAACAACCAAATGCTATGGCAGAAGACTTAGATACTCAACAAATACAGACAATGGAAAACACAAAAAAGAAACTGATAATAGAGAACAAGGAAAGGACTTTTCTTATAAACCAGAAGGAATTTGAAGATAAAAAAGAAAAACAGTTGAAAGAGAAGATAAATACTTCAGGACAACTGCACTGAATTGGAAAAACAAAGAGACGTCCTGCTAAATCAGCTAGTCCTCTTAAGAAAACATTAACTGGACGCTTTTATCAACATCATGAAAGTTCTGGATATGAAATCAAAAGCAGATTCCTCCACTTCAGTCTGCTAGAGTAAATCACATTTAGATTTTTCAAATGAAAAGAAGTCAACTACTACAAAATATACTCCTTTTACTGCTTCAGTATATTAGAATTCTGTTATCTCTTCTGTGAAATTCCAAATGCAGCAGCAGATTTTTAGCAAAGAACTGCAGTGGCAGAAGGAAGGAACTGTTAGAGAACCAGACTGCTTCTAAAATTATTACAAATAGAGCACCCAAACTTTCTAATCTGTATGTCATATCAACAACAAATCTCAGTCCATATACAGTAGCAAAATATCTGAAGAAATACTAGAAAAATGTTATTAATGGAGGAATTATTTTGCAGATTACAATAGGAATACTGCATAGATTTAATTATCTACAAATTACTACATCTGATGTAAATATGTGCATGGAAGAATTTATATGAAAAAGCTACTTGTAACAGCTGAGCAATTTAAATCACACAGATCACTTTTGTTATTACATGGACTTATTTCTATAAGCACAGTTACTATGTACTGCATTGTAAAAAATATACTTATATCCATGTAAACCACCTTAAGTCCCATGTGCGAGTAGGCGGCAATATAAATTTTCTAAATAAATAAAAATAAATAAATAAAATACTTATAGTGCAGTAAAACACCACCACCAATATTTTACCTGTGAGTTTCCATGAAACTACTGTACTCTGAACCAGGGTCTAATTCTTCAACAGATATCTGGATCTCTTTATGAACATTCACTAGTTCTTCTGTCACAAGACTGGTGATCTGACTGTATTCTTCTAAGATTCCTTTCCTGCAAAAAAATTCCATGAAAACATATTCAAAATGTATTTTAAATAACATATAAAGTATAAATGTATAAACATTGAACCAAGATGATTTAAAGCAATGCAATTTAATTCCCAGTTTTGTTCAGGAAAATTAATGTATATATAATAGTTATCCAAGTATTTTTAAACTTAATTTCTTTAATATATTACAGTACCAATATGTTTTTATTAATAGCTTTTTTTAACATTCAGTAGAAATTACCTCACTATAATTCACATTTATTAGTTCATGTCCTGCCTTTTGGGATGATAGAGACCGGTCTTGGCTGCCATCTATGTAACATCCTTTCAGATATTCAGAGTACTCTTATCTATTCTTCAACTGAATATTTTCAACTTCTTTTCCTAGGGTTTAATTTTCTTTTCTGTGATCAACTTTGACGGCCCTCTCTCTACTTATTCAAGGTTGCCTGGATTTTATTTCAAATGAGATACCCTAAACTTCTGCATGCCTGTGTTAGAGAACCCTTCAAATGATCAGGATACTTGGTACCAGTAGTACATGCAGTTCATTCTTCATGAAACTACTATTTCAACTATTCAGATTTGAGCGTTGAGCTTATCTGCCCATTAATGCCTAGCAGCCTGTGACATTATGGTGCTTGATCACATGTAAGCCCAAATGAATTGATAGGCTTTATTCTCAGGCAACTGTTTATCTTGATTTAGAACCTTAGGAAGAAAAATACAAGAGATCTGCGCAATATTTTTATTGTACTTATTTTGATCAGGGCAAGACTGAAAGTTAACCATTTGTCTTATAGACTAAGCTCTGCTCTTTTGCTCAGGATCTTTCAAATGCAGTACTTCTGTTAAGGAATATACTACCTACATTTGGACATTGTCTTTAATGCATAGCAAGGCACCAATGCATATCTGATTCTCAATTAAAAGAATATTACTATAATTTTAAATGAAAAGCTCACATCTACAAAGCAAGAGTGCCAACTCCACATAATCTTTACTTCCAAGATTATCAATGGGCCTTAAAAAATAAAACCAGTAGATAATTGATCACTGCTTTGATGGAAGGTACGCCCACCTTTTAAGAAAAAGATAAAGATGCACTGGAAAATGAGTTAGTTGTATCCTGAAGAGATAATGATGGGCGGGGGGGGGGGAAATCAACACTTTCCTCCTAGAAAATAGGCCTGATTGATTTGATATTTGTCCCAATTTTTCTATAATCTATGAGGGCAATAGATTATAATCTATTTTTAAAAGTCTTTTTGCTATTTTAGGGAAACATAACTTGCCATGTCCACTTATTCTAAATAAGTCACAAATATTAATGAACCTTTTAGATACTTGGGCAAGGGAACAGTTACTTCATAGTATTTTAGTCAGTGTAATCTGCCTGTTTTTAATTTTCTTCATCACATTACTGATGTGAAAAACAGTTCAAGTGTACAGCTAAAACTGCTCTATTTTTCTTCTCTTGTTTTCAGACCACAGATGATGTACTGAATGAATATACAGTATCTGTCTTATTTTTCCTCATCTGACTGTTGTTTTGTTACATTGAAGGAGAAATTAGTTGAATGAATAACTCTTTATCTCACATAAACTAGTAATAACCTACTCAGTGTAATCTATTCTAATTAAGAGTCTTACTGCAGTTTCAGTGCAATGACTTTGAAAAAATGTGAAAAAATACAATTATACTCAATATATTGTATATTATTATCTTCATGCAGCATAACATTTTTCAAGACATTTTAAAAGGGATAATAAATCCAACATAAATATGGTCACTAACATAAAAAGCAGCCAGTGCCCTAAAAATAATATCTCTTTATGGTTTCTGAAGAACCCAATATTTCAAAATCTTTCATAATATATAGTAGAAATTTTCATAATATATAATGGAAAATATGGGGCAAGGATAGAGTAACTATCCTTTTATTTCACATAAACAAGTCCAACAAATACAACTTCTGCTGTTACAAAGTAATCACTAGACTATTTAAAGCACTAAATAGGTAAGGATACTAATGTTATGCTTTTTTATTGAGAAAATAAAAACTTCAATCACAAAAGAATATGTCTCCTGCTTTGAGAATTGCAATTATGGTTTCCATTAAAAAATATTTTTGAAGCATAGCTGTGATGATGTCAAAATACGTATTAGCATGTTATTCTTTGTTTGAATAGGGAACAATCTGATTTCAGATACTGACAGAAAAAATTATACTGAAAAGTCCATCATATAATATGAATAGCCAACAAGGGTTAAGAAGACAATTATCATTACTTAAAAAAAGACTCCAAATAATCTATTTGTAAGTTTATTTAATATACTACTGATGGTATCAAAGTCTATCTGGTAAATAAATAAAATAAAATAAATTACAATGAAGACAAAATTTTGATTAATACAAAAAATAAAACAAATTAATATAATTAAATTTAACAGTTAAAATCAGCAGTTTGTACAGTACACTGTGTTTTAAAGCTCTTTTTTAAAAAACTAATAAAGATGTCAGGCCACTCAATTTGGCTAGTTCCAAAGAACTGGGGCAGAAAAAGAGAACATTCAGTCCAGAGTTGCTTACAGCAACTATCAACAAAATATCCTCAGATGATATCAGTAATTGTGAACATTATTTGGAATGAGAGATTCTTTCCAATACAGTAACCAGGACCGAAGCCATTAATAATCCTCCCTTTTGTATTTTGCTTGCAAATAGATTGGCAGCCACTGCAGTATTTTAATTACAGCTATAATTTGGAATATTCTTCCACGGTGCAACCTATCTAGTGTATTTTATATAAAACAAAATTTCCAATTAAATGACAAAGACCTCTATGTACAATATATAAATATGGTCAACCTGTTGGTTACCAGCAAGTGTAGCAAAGCTTTATGGTTATTATTTTCCAGAAATAGACATATTTGATAATCAACCAAAGCTGGTAAAAGGCAGTTCTGAATATTTATTCAACTTGGCTAACTAGAGAAATTGTAGATGTAGGAAAAAAAAAACCTGTGTTCTTGCTACTTCTTGGATTGTGTAATCCCATTCAGGATTGGCAACCCTACACTGCTCTAAAATTATGGCCCTTCACAAAAAGTACCTCATATTGTATGATCAGTTTCAATTTGCTATTTCTTGTCCAGCCCACTACTGACTACAGGCAGAAATTTAATACACTGTTCCCTATAGGCATCACATAGAAATATATTATTTTATATTTCAATTTATATATCAGTTATATTTATAATTGATACCAACTGGCATGCATTGCTAGATTTCACCTGTACAGACAGCACCCAATGACCTTAAGCTAGAAGTCTCCAACACTATCAACAACAGCAATCTTGTCAGCTCAATAAGAGATTGTGTTAAACAGCAATCTAAGTAGAATTCTAACAGAACCATCTACACGAAAGAGTTGTCTCACAGATGAAGGAGATGCTATTCTTACAGATCACAGCCACATCACCTCCATTTTGCTTCTCTTAGCTTCTCTGCTAAAAAGCAGCCATAAGGAATTAGGTCCATCCTGGTTTATGTGGTTCTCACTGCCACATCTCTGTTAAGTCAGATATCTCATCCATGAATCAAATTATGCATTACCTCACAATCACTCTTATTTTGGACCAATCTGGCACAACAGACAAAAAATACCAGGAAACCAAGGCTTGAGAGCTTACAAGATTGCCAGGATAAAAAACAGCCAATATGTTTTTCTTTTCCCTTCCACTGTAACAATTGTCAGCCTGCTGACATCTAATCTTTTATTCTTCACTCCACCTATAACTATTGCCCAAGACCCTTAGATGGTGTGCCCACATATACTTTAACAAATGAATTAAATAGTTTAGCTAGCTAGACAGACAAAATTGTCACAAAAAATAAATAGCAGCTAGGCAACGGAAAAAGCAAAAACAAAATTGTAAATCAATGGCCTAGAAAAATCAAACGACTCTTACTGGTTAAGAAAAATAGAGTGTCAACTATGAGGACCATTCTACAATAGGACACTCATATATGGGTTTAGCTGTTCAGTACTGGAAAAGTTTCTAATTCTAGCTGCAATTTACAATTTTCCTATAAAAGATGAAATATTAAAATTCTGTTACATTGATTCATAAATGAGGTTTGTACCTGACATACACAATTTCAAACATCACAAAACCCTGTGTTTGACTTGTACTGGTATAAAAAATGTATACCAGTTAGAAATATCACATGTAGAAGCTCATTGCTATTCATTTCTTAAAACTTAACATGAGAACTTAGGTGGACTACACATGCTTTTATGAGACAAAACACTACATCTTACAGTCCTTTAATCATTTCTTCTTGCATCTTCTGTAAAGAGTCAAGGAACAAAGGAAGTGTAGCATCATAATACTGGTGCTGATGTAACTGTGCTCCTTTCAATGCCAACACGTATTGATTGTGCAACATGTGGAGTTTCATTGTGGCTTTATCATAGCGATCTTTGGCTTTTTCAGTTTCCTTTCCTGAAAGAAAGGAAAAGGGGGGAGAAAGGAGGAAAATGAATAATTTTCCAGACTGAATGCCAAAAAGTGTTGAGGTGAAGGAATAAATCTTAATCATCTTAACTCTTAAAAAGTAAAATGCAGTGCTTTTGTTTTGTTTTGTTTTTGTCAAATCATTTGCACTCTATACCAAAGCACACCTAATTTTTGTCATTATGATTATATTAGGATATGAAGTAAGCAAAAAAATGTAAGAGGAACAAAAATGATTTTTACTTGCATTGCAAATCTTTTCAAATCCACATACGGGCCTAATATAATTATTCTAAACATATAAACAATACTCTTACTTGTGCAATGACTGAATCTAACCAGGCTTCAGACTAAACAAGACCACAATAATCAAACTATTTTGCAGGCTTTATGCCATTTTAAAACAGCTTTAAGCCTATTTTCCAAAAGAGAGATAAGTACATAATTATATCTTCTTTCCTTCTCTGTATCTCAATAACATAGACACAAGTGAATCATTATATATAATCCCACTTTGCAAATGCAAAGACAGTATAAAGATCAGGAAAAGGAAACATGAGCAATTTCTTTTAATTCTATATCTCGCAATGTTACAAACAAAGCCAGTTTAGTCTAGTCGTGCGAGCCTAAAAAACGAGGGGACAGTTCTAGTCCCATATGACTCATCAAAAACCAGTTGGGTGACTTTAGACCTGTCAGTCTTTCTCTCTCTCCCAACCCAAGCCAACTCCCAAGATTTTTGCTGTGAGGAAAATAGGAGAAGGAAGAGCATTAGTTATGTTTGCTGCCTTGACTTATTTATAAACAATTAAAAAGGGGATAAAAATCAAATAATTTCACATACTCTTGGGGACTCTCACCTCATCCACTGTTGTAAATCTATTCCACGCTACTTTGATTCTGTATAAAGTTCTTGCAAGGTAAATTATTAAACATTCAATTACAAGAGAGTAAGCAAGTACACAATGGGGAATACACATTGAAAGGAATGCCTTAACACCAGCTACATGCTTAACTTGTTCCCAGCCACATAGAAGACAAATCTTTAGGGTGAAATTGATTAGGATTGTGCCAATTTCAGACAGCAGCATAATTAATTGAAGTGGCAGAGCTGAGCTTGTTAACCTGTGGTTAACACTCTTTAGGGAACCATTGTAAAAAGCGATTTAGGAAGGGATAGTTTGTTTAAGCAATCTTTCCCCTCTGCAAATTCTGTAAAAAAAAATACAAGTTTAATAGTCAGGCACACATAGCATTATGTCTAGGAATTGCTTGTTTTGTTCTGACTGTTGAAAAAAATACACATCAGTGAAAAGATCAATTTGGCTGAAATATTGTACACAGTCCAAAGCAGAGATAAATATACTTCGAATAACAGAGTACTAACTTTGAAGAATTGAGTGCTACAACAAGAAGCAGAATATTACTGCAAATTGTGGAGGATCACAATGTTCCTTCTTGCTCTTGGTTTTTCATAGATGTAGGAGGTTTTCTGCTATACTATAAAGTATGTTAAATGTAATGTAGCACTGCAGAACTGCCATTGTAAATTGGGACAGTTCTGTAATGTTCCACTTCATGACCTTGTCACTTAGTGACATTCCTGGTCTCAGTTATGTCAGTAAGCGAAAACTACTTGTATAACTAAATCAAATTCCCCTACTTGAACAACTTCTTGTAGAATGCTTGAGAACTGCTACAGAACTCCCTCTTGTAGCTCCTTAAAAAGAATTTGTACAAGCATTTGTACATATTTTAATTAACAAATTATTAGTACAGCCTCATAGCCTGTTGTGGGTACAAATTTCTGAATGAGACTTATATGATGAAACGGTAGATTGCTTACATTCTACTATAGAAAATCACAGGTTAATTAGTTACTTTCTTACAAGGAAGGCAACAATAAATCTAGGAGAACTTGTAGAAAGGGAATAAAAGAGGAGAGGCAACTGAGAAGTGGACTGAGAGGTAAAAAAGAAAGGAAAAAAGACATAACTAGTATTTTTGAAATAAAATAAAGAATGCTAATTCTTGTGAGAAAATAAACTATAATTCTCTAAATAAGCATTGAGTTTGTTCATATTAAGTCTTTAAAAATTTCTATTGTATTATGTTGCTCATAAGGTATTACTGCAAAATTTTAATTGTTTGTAATCAATAGGCTCTGAGTAAATTTATTTTTGTATTAATTAAATTTATATGGCACCCATCTCACAGGAATCAAATGAGAAGTAGACTATAAAACCCACTGATATACAATGCTACCAGGAAAAGAATTAATAAGAGAACAATTTTAGAACTCTTAAGTTTATTATTTTGGTGTAAGGAAAATAAAATTTTAAAGTATATGACTTTGGCACATATAATTTTAAGCTATAATGCATGAAACTATATCATTTATAAAACCCAGTTTATCATTCAGCACTATGTGTCAATCCAGTTACTCGCTTATTCAACAATGGTTGTAATGGTTACATGTCAGGATGCATACTTGGCCTTTTGCAAAGGAACTCAAGTTGGCATATATAGTCCTTCTTTCTCCTGTTAACTAACCAGTACTGTGTCCACCAATTGTATTGCTTCTGTAAATTTTATCATGTTCAAAGGTCTTAGGGCTTAAACCAAATCTAAATAATACTTTGATTGCCATTATATACCTACCTTTAGATAATGCTTCCTTGTATTTTTCTTTGGCAGAGTTTACTTCCTTAATTAATTGTCTATAACTAGATTTTAACTTTTCCAATTCAGTTTTTGTAACCTACCAAAAAAATAAATTGAAAAGAAATTGGCATATCAATGCATATTATGAGAGATTAGACATTATCTACATAACCAAGCTGAAGCATGGAAAAATCAGTAAGGGAACATTTCATTTTCTTATGTGGGGCCCTATTAAGCAAATGCATTCTGAGACAACGCTTGAGTAATTCCGTGGATCATATTCTTGAGACAAATGCCCACAACAATGATTTTGTTAGGAAACAACACTCTGCAGCAGGGGCCCTTCTGTATATTCTTACTGTAAAAGGAGCTGGGTTGGGGTTAAAATTCTCTCAAAATAGATTCTCTCATTTTGAACAATGTAAGTGATGAAAACATAATTTGACCTTTTTTTCTTGCTATAAAGCTTAAGAATGCTGCAATTTGCAATGACAACTTGCTATAGGTAATTTATTAAGGTTGCTCGGAAGTAATACCGTATTTTCCGGTGTATAAGGCGACCCGGCGTATAAGACGACCCCCGACTTTGGCACTGAGTTGCATGCCTAGAAAGTCGTCTTATACGCCGGAAACTACTGTAATTTCCGGTGTATAAGATGACTCAGCATATAAGGCGACCCCCGACTTCGGTGCCGATTTCAACACTTTAGAAAGCCGTCTTATACGCCAGAAAATACGGTACTCCATTCCCATTTTAACTCAGCAAAGGAACCATTATTTGTATACAGATTTTCCACACACATTTATATATTTGTTTACAACTAAAATGTAGAAATTAACAAGAATAGGCAGTCAAAGACAAAAATGCAAACATATTTTCAATGAATGAAATGTGCATAATCATTTAAAATATACTTTTAAAATATACCTTGAACATCTCTGCCTCAATTTGCTGGTGAACACCCACATAACTCTTCTTTATCTGCTGTTTGTCTTTAATCATCACAGTAAGTCTATGTAATGGCCCAGCATTCAAGTCTTCTGCATGTGTCTTCATGATCTTGCTAAGCTGCTCTGTTTGTTGGACAATGAGCAACCATGACTTAAAAAGAGATGAGAAGTGATTTACTATTAGCTTAGAAACCAAAGATATGAATGTCAACTTTCCAAAGATAAGACATGTTTAAGTCTTTATTGGAAGAGATCACTGTACAGTTGGATTACTAACATACCTGATTATACTTATGGACTTAAGTACAAATAGGAACTCAAATATAGGGCCATAAAGACAACATATTTTAATGTACATAAACATTATTCTATATAAACAACGAAAAAAGAACAATTCTCAAAATTACTGCTGATTACATTTATACAGCAAGCAAGAGACATCTGAGAAGAAATAGTTAATTCCAATTTTAAAAATACATGTTACATAATATTGGTATAATAGCTATTTAGAATAGAATTCTCTAAATCCTCTAAGTTTTATTTTCTTAAAAGTAATTTTGGCTCATAAATCACATATGAAAAGCAGCGATCAGAATAAATAAGTAAAATCTGAAAATTCCAATTCATTTTTAAGATTGCCTCTCCAAAACAGTTAAAGAGAAAAGAAAAAGAGGTTCTGAATAAACTGTCATTCTTACTGACCATTTGCATACCTTTCTCCGCCCAGCAGCAGCCACTTACCTCCTGCCAGCCTGCATGCAATCCACCTGGGTTTCACTTAATGACCCAAGATCCTTGGTTAGCAATGGAAATGGGGAATGCAAGGATTGCTGTTGCTACCCAATGCAGTCACATGTTATCACATTTTACAACTGCATCACTTAGGAACAGAAATTCTGGTCCTCATTGCCATTGTTAAGCAAAGACTATCTGTATAACCTTGTTAGATGCATTTCAATTACCTCAGATGTGCACATTAAGATCATGACCAAAAGCTTTACTTCCAAATGTCAAAACTGTAAAAATTACAGTTGCTTCATACATTCTGACATGCAAAGAGTGGAAATGGAACATGCAATCATCCATGTCCTCACATACATTAACTTGTTAGGCGAGTTTCCATACCTAGCAATTTTTTAGTCTAGATATTAATTCAAGTGATTTTACATATGAAAGAGTATTGTTGTAACTATGAATACAAAAATCAATTTATGTCAAAAAATGTTAATAGCATGGCTCAAGGTAAAGCAATGTAGCAAATTAACACTTTTATAATGTTAAGTAAAATTGCCAAGTATTGCCAAGTTGTTTATGAGGCTAACATTTAAATTGTACTAAAGTAGGCCCACTGGAATACCTAAACTAGATATGGGACATAATTATCTTCAGTGACTGTTCAGTCTTATAATAGTGCTAAATGAGTGGTACTTATACGTAGTCCTCAGAGTTCCAGTTGTCCCACAATCACAAGATTGTGATCTGTGCATTTGAATGCAAAGTTAATTGAGACGTTGGGCAGAAAGTCATAAATGGCAAAATGCATTACCCTTGCTTAACCACTGCAGTGATGGCAACCAAGAGTGCTGGAATTATTGTTGCTAAACAGATGTCATACTTTACATCCACCTCATTTGCAACAGATATTCTAATTGCTATCATTAACCAAGGACTATTTGAAACAGAAATTTGGGGGCCAAAATTCAGAATGGAAGTATATGATTTATCCCAAACATCCACAAAGAAATTCTCAAACATAAAACAAATCAAGTCCATAAGAAAACATACACCAAACCATTAAGTAGTTTAAACAATCAAATTATCTTTATTGAAGTTTACAGAACTCAACAGAAACCAAGAAATTATATCCTTAAAATTGCAGCCTTAAAATTATTCTGTGTGTTTATCACAAAGTTTGTAAATTTATTTATTTATTTATTTATTTGTGAGACTTATATACCACTTTAAATGCAAGCACTCTCTAAGCGGTGTACACCAGTAAGCAATGTATATATATATTTACATTGCCCCCAACAATCTGGGTCCTCATTTTACCTACCTCGGAAGGATGGAAGGCTGAGTCAACCTTGAGCCGGTGAGATTTGAACCGCTGACCTGCTGAACACAGTCAGCTATACTGCACTCTAACTGCTGCGCCATCTCGGCTTATATAATAATTTGTAGATTTTTATCAGATTTTAAAAGTTTACTCACTTTAAATTTAAATTAAATTACATTTTCTTACCTTTGCTACGTTACTGACATAATCCAACTGTGACGTACTCTCTTTATCAACCTGATTGCAAAGGTTCTGTAAAGTGGATGCGTATTCTTTGTCACTTTTTATTCTCATGGCCATAAATTTCTTCACTGTTTCCAATAGCCGTAACTCCCAATCTTGCAGTTTTAGCAAAGCTTCATGAGAATACTTCAGATCATTTCCAAACCCCATCTTTTTTCTTAAGGCACTAAATTTATCAAGGGCCACTAGTAAAAATTATTTTGCCAGTACATCTGTAAACATAACAAAATAATAACAAAGGGCTATTATTATCATGTTTGGTCACACAGTCATGTATGTATGTTTGTATATATGTATGTATCTATGTGTGTATGTATGTACATTTATATTGAAAGAGAATGACTTGTCTGAAGATACCTAGCTGGCTTTCATGTCTAAGGAAGGTCCAGAACTCACAGTCCCTTGTTTGTAGTCGAGCACCAAATTGGCTGTGCATTTTGTTACATAAGCATTCCCAAAGAAGACCTAAGGACAATTATAGAGAATAGAGAAACATTCCCTTTTTCATTCACAAAGCAATAGAGTGAACTAACCAGGAAATAAAAGATCAAGTCTCTTTCTTCATCATCAGATCTGACTGGAGGGGCTTTAAAGTGGAGAATCTTTGTATTGTAGGGGCTCAGTAGTTAGTTTACAAGCTACTTTAATACATAATATAGTTTCCTTAGCAATCATGCAAACAGAGCCAAATAGTACTGTATGCAAATGATAGGCAAATAGCTGTTGCTTAGCAAATTACTGGTAGTCCTTGACTTACAACAGTTGCTCAATAATAATTTGAAGTTGTGACAGACAAAATGACTCATCCTCAGAGTTAAATCTGCCACAGCCCCCCCCCCCCTGTAGTCACATAATCACATATTGGGCACTTGACAATTTGCTCGCATTTACAATGGTTGAAGTGTTCCATGGTCATGTTTTGCTGGTTAGTGGCATTTTTTTGCTGGTTTTTGGCAAAAAAAAATGCCCATTAAACATACTGGATTCACTTAGCCACCACATGATTTGCTTAACAAAATCAAGCCCAGTAGTTGTAAGCTTCAACTTACAACAATTCCATTGTCGTCATAAGTCGAGAACTACCTAAAACAATTCTGATTTAGTGTTATATATTAAGCCAACCACTGTTATAAGATGGCATCAGGAAGTGCTCCAGAAAGCAACCAAACCTGAACAAATAAAATATATTTTGAATTGCCTGTAAGCTTTTAGAAGACCATTTTTAGCAAAGATATCATGAAGTTAACTATATGAAATGCTTCTTTTAAAAGAGTTTCTTCTTTTACAGTCATTGCTTGGATTTCTTTATAGATCTAGAAAATTAACAGAATTGATTCTGATTTCTCTACTGACTAGCTACCAGTAAAAGCAAGCTTTTTGTGCAGTGCTATGGTTCTTCTAAATGGGTGGTGGGAAAAATTCTCAACTTAGAATCCGATTTGTGTCTCTGCACAACCAATTCACGACAGTTTACAATACTAAATTCCCCAACCATCAGTAAAATGAATGAAATATAACATATTAACATATTTATAAAATAGCATAACAAAATGAAATGTTGTTATCAAAACCAAGATAAAAGCCAGTCTCCATCCCGTTCATGTCAGAAACCCACTTTAAGGCACCTCCACATTGAAAGGATTAGCCAGTGACATCACTATTGCCTGGAGCTCACCCACTGGGGCTCTTTTTGTGTCCCCGTCAAGGAGCTGGAGCAAATGATGGGAGCTCACTCCACTATGCAACAGATTCAGGTCTTGAACGTAGGCTTGCTAACCTCCAAACCAGCACCCTATCCATGTGAGCCACCATGCTCCTAAAGCTGATCAAAATTAAAGTCATATAACCAGGGCTCTTTTTGTCATAGAACGCCCAGAACCGAGTTCCAGCACCTTTCTGAGATGTAGGGTAGGCAAGGTGGGTTGTATGACATGTGTGAGTTCGGCACCTTTTTTTTTTTTTTTTTTACAAAAAAAACCACTGCATATAGCAGATTTGAAGCCAGATAGCCCAAACTACATGCAAACAAAAGCTTGCAACTTATTTGCATTAAAACTACAGTCTATTTATTGTGCTAATCTATAAAATTCATTTTGGTGGTTTTTCTCCCTACATTTTTATTAGAACTTGGAACTGCAAGATCTGTGGTCAAAATTCTTCTGATTCAAACAAAATGGCTATTTGTAAAGTTGATCTTTCCAATTCTGCTGGTTCTCAGAGTTTTGCAAAATTCTGAAATAGGTTTGAATTTTGAGTAGTTCCAAAATAATGCATAGAAGTACCTGGTTATGAGAAAAAGTTTAAACCATACTATACATTCCATGGTGCTGGATAGCTATTCTAACAGTATCCTGTCAGCCCCAAACAACTTGGTACTGAATCCATAAAAATTATATTGTTGCATTGCGATGATTAAAAAGGAATTAAAGATTAGTGTTCCAAACATTATTTTGATGAACAATTTTTAATTAATAGGTCTCAGATAGGCATTATTGTGAAAGATGCATTCTTCTTAAGTGTCATTACTGATTTAAGACCATCAATAATAATTCTGAGTATTATATACACAGGCACACACCCTATACAACATGTATCAAATGTAATTATTTGACTAATAGTTGTTTTCATTTGAACACAGAAACAGTGATAATTGAATTATAAGTGTATTACATTATTTAGAATGCCAGAATTGCAATTAATAATATTCCTTACTATGCCAATATTTACAATGTGTGAGTTATTATTGTTTTACACAGAATAAATAACTGCTCATAAAAGAATGTAGGTGGGCTGTAAATATCTTTTACTAGCAAGATTCATACATGTATGAGGTGATAAAAATACTGAACGATTTTACAGAACAAAAAGGCAGAACTCAAATGAAAAATAACACTGATAGTCATGACACATTCTAAAAAGTTTTTTGGAGAAGCCACATATTTATAAACATATGTGGGTAAATGCCCTAGACAAAACATTCTATAAATTTCAATGAAAATCATATTCTGTATAAAATTGATAATAGAAAGGCAAAATATACCATACCTTTTATAAAAAGTATTGTTCTGATAGTCTTTCCTTTCCAATGTTCACACCCCTGGTTTCTGGCTTAGCACTTCCAGATTTTCTTACTTTATTAAATTCTGCAAAACAAATGTTATATGATCCAGTTGACAAACCATGCAATATCACAGGTCTTGAATATTATGAGATCCTGATACATAGTATGAAGTATACTGTAGGTAGTCCTTGATTTACGACCACAATTGAGTCCAAAATTTATGTTGCTAAGCAAAATATTTGCTAAGTGAGTTTTGGCCCATTTTTTCTTGCCACATTTGTTAAGTGAGTCATTGCAGTTGTTAAGGTAGTAAGACAGCTGTTAAGTGAATCTGGCTTTCCCACTGATTGTTGTAAAAGGTGGTCACTTCACCCTGGAACACTGGAACTGTCATAAATGTGCCAAGCATTCAAATTTTGGTCACGTGACCATGGGAATGCTGCAATAATAAGTGTGGAAAACAGTCATAAGTCATTTTTTTCAGTGCCATTGTAACTTTGAAAGATCACTAAATGAATGGTTACAAGTTGAGGACTATAGTGCTGGGAAAGATGGAGGAAAGAGAAAAAGGAGAAAACCAGCAGCAAAGTGAATTATAATTACAGCAATTACAATTACAGCAGCAATAGGTGCAACATTGGAAGATCAGGTTAGGGACATATCATCCAATATTCATCTATGTGTGATCACTAGATGACGTTGACATTGTCACAGTTGACACTGACTTGATGGGACATAAATATATTAAATTCTGTGGCAATACTTTTGTGATCTACTCTTTAAGGGGAAAGTCATTGACATTGTACTAAAATTCTACATAAAAGAGTAAAAAAATAAATAAAATTATACCGATGGCATGTAGAAAAATACCAAGTATCTATATTTGTATAAATCTGCAATACATAGGTATTATCAAAACTTAAGACTATACCCGAGAATACATTTTATGAAATCAGTAAGATTTACTCTTGAATAGATACAGACTTGTATTATGAAAGCACAATGATCTTATTGAAGCAAATGTGTGATGGGTACATAGAATCTATTGATTTTCCCTTTCTGAGTTAACATGCAGACCTAGTTTTCTCTTTCTGCTTCCCCTTTCTCATCTAAGGGTAATATTTTCTGAAATATCAACCTCAAAAAGTAATAGATTGCTAATAACGTCAAATATTATGAACTATGATCATTTTAGTATTACTACAAATTGACCCATCATTCAAAGTATATCAAATTTCTAATAGATGAAAGGGAGACAAATTTAGGAGAAGAATGGCTTTTTTATCTAGTCAAAACAAGATTTAGGAATTCACTTCAGAGGTTGTAGTGTATATGTTGTGAAAAATGGTTGGGATATGCTGCTCAAACCTATTTACTTGGAGGTACAATATCTCCACCAAGTTCTGTGATGTTTATTCTGATAAAAGATTGCATTTAAGTCAGGTTTCAGGCCTTACTATAGGATAGAGATTGCATTGTTGCACTTGTGGATGACCTCTGGTTAGAACAGAATATTGGTAGAACCATCCTGGCTCTCCTTGACTGCTTAGTGGCCTTCAATACATTGACCATGGTAACCCTTTGGCCAGCTGCACAGTTTGTTGCTGAGCAGCACAGTTCTCAGCTGGTTTGGCTCCTTTCTCCAAGGCTGATCCCAATCAGTGTTGATATAGAGTGACAAACCTAGCCCCTGGTAGCTTTCTTATGGTGTGTTGCAGGGCTTAATTCTCTGTCCACTCCTCATTAACATCTAAATGAAGCCACTGGATGAGATCATCCATCACAATGGGTTCAGATATCATCAGTATACTGATGACATTCAACTTATATCTCCGCACCTGGTGATCCAAGTGATGCTGTCACTATCCTCTCACAGTGCCTGGAGACTGTAGAGCTGGATGGGGGTCAATGGGTTACAACTAAACCCTAGCAAGATGGATGGATGGATGGATGGATGGATATATATAGAAATAGATAGATAACCTTTTATTGTCATTTTTACTGTGGGCACAATGGCGCACATTAAAAATGAAATTTAGTTGCTTGCTCTCAAAGTACACATACATAGCACACATTTAAACATACTATATACAACATATGTATAGACCTACACTCTTACATATAAGTAACATATAAATATTAATCACTGTCCATCTTGAATACATAATGGAAGGAGGAAGCTTTAGAGTTCGTAAGGTTAATACTGTATGGAACAAAACTGTGACTGAATCTGGATGTTCTGCTACCACGGAGCCTCCTCCCAGAAGGTAACAAGGAAAACAGGTTGTGAAGAGGATGTGTAGTGTCCCAGACAATCTTACGGATCCTGCTTAAGCAACGCTTATGTGCTATATCCTGGATGGAAGGGAGGGAACTGCCAATAATCTTTTCACCCATCCACACCACTCTCTGCACTGCCTTCCTGTCTGAAGCAGTGATGCTTCCAAACCAGACTGTGATGCTGTATGACAGGATGCTCTCAATCGTCCCTCTGTAGAAAGTGGTAAGAACAGGGGAAGGAAGATGTGCTTTTCTCATGTGGCGCAGAAAATGCAGATGCTGCTGTGCCCACTTCACCAGTATCTCACTACTGAAGACCAAGCCAGCCTACTTGTTAACTGCACGCCCAGGAATTTGTTGCTGGTAACCATTTCCTCAAACTTAAGAGGCTTTGGGTGTCACTCCATTGCGTTGGGTGCATAGAGCTTCCAGACTCAGATCTTTGACATCTTTAGTTCTGGATGGGGCTGCACTATCCCATTCAGACCCAACTTAGGAGTTCTCCTGGGCTCAGGACTCCTGATCAAAGAGCAGATGGTGGTAGTGGCTAGGATAGCCTTTGCACATCTTTAATTTGTGCACCATCTGCAGCCTTTCCTGGATCAGGACTCCCTGCACTCAGTCACTCAAGCCCTAATCATCTCTCGTCTGGATTATTGTAATGTGCTTTACAAGGGGCTACTTTTGAAATGTATTTGGAAACTGTAATTAATACAAGCAATCTTTGGGACCCATAGAATGGCCCATACAACACCAATGTTTTTGTGAGATATACTAGTTTCTGGTTTGTTTCTGGGTGCAGTTCAAGGTGTTGACTTTGATCTTTAAAGCCCTCCATGGCATGGGTCCAGATTACTTGATGAAACATCTCATCCCATTAAGACAAGCCCACCCTACTCCTGCCAGCAGAGGCTTGCTGGGGATCCCGTCAGACAAGGAACTCTGATGGGCAGGATTCAGAAGAAAAACCTTCTCTGTTCTAGTGCCAACCCCTCTGGAACACTGTGGTCCCTGGGGTGAGGTTTGCTCCTGCCCTTTTATTCTTCTGCAAGAGCTTGAAGACCTGACTCTGCCAGTTGACCTAGGGATCCAAAAAGGGAGTCCAACACAGGAGGTGGCTACTGGACTAATTAGCTGAACCCACCTCCCCTTGTGCTTCCTGATGCCCCTTTAAAATTTCATATTATTTTACTTTTATTATTTTTACTGTTTCATTGCTTTGCTTTTATTGTATTTACATTTTTCATCATTTTTTTCCGTTTTTACTGTTGTAAGCCACCCAGAGTAGCCCCATGGTGAAATGGGCAGCAAATAAATTTAATAAATAAATCTGATTGTAACTCTTTCCTCTTTACATTTAAAAAAGTTATTGTATTCTGCATATGACTGGCCTGCCCAGTAAAAATATATAAAAATCCAGGATTTATTCTAGCTAAATCTCCTGAACTCTAGCTTTTTTTAAAAAAAAAAGTTTTTACTTAGCTCTACGTTTAAATTATCCTTTCAATTTCTCACATCTTTCTCTAATTTGGGAGCTTCATCTTATCTATTACAAGAGGAAATGAGTAAGAGCTCCACTGTAAACTAAAAGCCAAAATTGTACCTTATTTATCTACCCACAAACTGAAGCTTAAAAAGAAAATAAAACTGAACAAAACACTCTAATTACTATCTAATGAAACAAATCTTATCGCTAAATGTACATGATGAAATAACTGCAGTACTTAGAGGCACTGACTAATGCTGTTTGTAACTGTAAGGGAAAACAGATCACCTTTCCAGATTTTTTTTTTAACTTTCAGCAGCTGGATGTGACCGGTAATTAGGATAGTGAAGACATTTATTTCTCCAACATTTTGCTCATTAATGTTGACAAGGTTACTTGTAAGAGTCTCTTCACAGCAGAACCCTTGAAGTATATAAGCACAGGGAAGACAATTATATTTTTATCTGTTTACATTAACACCTGAGAGTAAAGGTAAATAATAAAATTAAATTAAAATTAAATAAATAAAAATAAATGTGTAGTTTATTCAAAGTTAAATGTTGTTTTCAACATTATTTATTCTCTAGTATATATAGTATATAGCCATAGATATGAATTCCAAAAATACAGTTTTGTCATACATGAAAAAAATAAAACTGAATAAAACACACTATCTAGTGAAACAGCTTTTATTGCTAAATATACATACTAAAATAATGTTGAAAGTAACATTGTCTTATTATAGTTGGTCACACAGTAAGCCAGATGTTTAAACAGGATTTGGCATTTTTACCAGCAGATTTAGAAGTTCACAAAGTAGTAAAGAAGAGGAAGAGAGAAATACAATTTCTGAAATTCATTTTCCCCCACTCCTCTTGCTAGAATTATTCCAGCTAATTTCTTTCTTCTGATTCACAGATTTTTTTTATGCCAGGAAATACAGACATCTAAGTAATTACATTTGGGTGAACAATGTCAGATCATCTGTTTGGACATGCCTTCTACTCTAGAGTTGAAAGTCACCTGAAAAAAAGTATTTCAGGAAGAATTATTAATATAAGTCTGGGGAAATAAAAACTGAAATAAAATACTTTTATTTTAAATGGAATAACATGACATACCAAAGACTATTATTCTGAAATAACAAGATATTCAAAAAGTGGTTGCTAAAGGGAAAAAGTTTTGAAGATCCAAATCTAACCAATAAGCATTTAATATATAAGTCCCAATGTACTCAGTAGGATTTATTTCTGGATACATACATGCTGGTTTGTACCACAGTTAACTAATTCACCTACTCTTCTCCTTTAAAAAGAACAGTAGGAAAGATTTCAAGTGGAATGTTCCAAAGTCTCTGAAAAGATTGAAGGTTTATTTGCTGAATAATTTTTCATATAATAAACCAATAACAAACAACAAAAAGTCATAAGACAAATTTGCTTAAAAATATTACACCTAATCTTTTGACAAAGCCCAGGCATTACTTAATGACACTACAGCCTACAGAGTCATCACTAAAGATCCGATGAAAACGCACACAAACCACATCAACAAGGTACTTAGCAACCTCAAACGTTGGGGTAAAATCAACGACAACACATTGAGGAGGATACATCCCAGCGACGCAGCCATGGCTAGGTTCTATGGCCTCCCGAAAGTACACAAAGAGGGGGGGGGTCCTCCTACGACCTATTGTGTCCTTCAGGGGCACACCCACTTCAGGACTAGCCAAATGGCTCAGCGGTCGCATCAGCCACTTGGTCGATAACAACAAGACCACTGTGAAATCGGCTGAGGAGTTTCTAGAGAGAGTAAAGCCCCTAAGGATAGAGAAAGATGAGGTAATGATATCATTTGACATTACCTCACTCTTTACCTCTATCCCTCAAGATCTGGCACACGGCAATAGGGACCTCCTACAAGAGGGGCCTGAACAACATAAGGACACTCTCCATACCAATGATTTAATACAGTTGCTAACCCTATGCCTGAAGACATACTTCACCTTTTGGGGCGTGGTATACGAACAAATAAAAGGGACGCCAATGGGATCCCCCATCTCAGGCATTATTGCTGAGGTGGTTCTTCAGTGGCTAGAGTCAATAGTAATGTCTAGGTACTGCCCAAAATTTTGGGCACACTATGTAGATGATACTTTTGTGATTATCAAAAGACAAGATAGCGCCAAATTCTTGGAGGAACTGCTCGGTATATCCAGACATCTGCTTCACCGCAGAAGAAGAGAGCCAAGGCAGTCTTACCTTTCCGGATGTACTGATCAGCCGATGCCCTAATGGCACATTGTGAATGTCTGTATACCGTAAACCCACCCATACAGACAGAATGCTACATTATAATAGCAACCACCTGGTAGCACATAAAATCAGCTGCATCCGGATGCTATTTAAATGGGTTAATTCCCATTGTAGCACGGGCAGAGCTAAAGCCGAGGAGAAAAAACATCTTCATCACATCTTCATGCGCAATGGCTATCCCATAGGGTTTGTGAGACAGCATAGTAGACGACATCAAAATCATAGAGACTCACGCTCCAATGGGACAGCAATGTCAGCCACATGAACAACCCTCCCTTACATCCATGGTGTCTCCAAGGCCACGGCATGGCTGTTGGCCTCCTACAATGTGAGTGTTGCCCATAGGCCCGAGCACACCTTAGGTCCAAGGTCATGCATCCAAAAGAACTGCTCCCCAACGGTCAAAGATCATCTGTGGTTTACAGAATTGCAAAGATTGTGCGAGCAATTACGTTGGGGAAACTACTAAAAGATTGAGGACCAGGGTTCATGAACATGAACTGGCTATTAGAAGGCAGGAGCAATTCTCACAAGTGTGGGCCAATATGTCCAGCTCTGGCCACACGTTCGATCTAGCTAACGCAGAGGTTATAGCTCATGAGACTACCAAGGGGAGCCGCCTATTCAAGGAAGCCTGGCTCTCTAATGAAAATTCCATCAACCGGCATATAGATCTTTTGCTGGCCTACCAGACTCTTAGGAGATGGGAAAAAGAGCACCATGGCCTGCTGAGAAGACATTTAACTCTTCCTTTGCAGGATTGGGGCAGTAGAATGATGGATGAGATGGGCACGATCTCTAAGGAAGACAATGACAGCGTTTTGCATAATTGAGACGATGGCTCTATAGGTGGGACGACCACGACTCCCATGGACCAAGATGTTGGACCAAATGGCCCTAAGCCAGGGATGGAAGCGCTGAGGTGATCTGGAAGGAGGGGGAGGGAGGGGGAAGACAGAGAGCAGGAATGCCGGAACAGCAGCTTGTTGCAGGACTGGGGCGGAGGAATTACGACAACAGCCTTGGCGGTGGGGGAGAATAATGGCCCTGGGAGGGAGGGGGACTGGGCACAGAGACGGATTGACAGTGCCCGCCAAGTGCTTGCACATGCTCAAAAAGAGCATTTGAGGATCGTAAAATAACCAGTGGAGTCAAAGACAGTTTGCCTGATGAGGAACAACTCTGCGCGATACGGATTAATACAATCAACGGGCTGATGACGCGCTCAAGGAGCCGGACACAGAGGCAGGAGGCTATATGAGCTGCCTTCCTGATCTCCTTCTATTCTAACTCTCATGACGCCAGCAGTTTTTGGCCGGACGAAAGCTTAGTGACTCTTCCTAACCACAGTCTTGTTTATATTAAACAGGCTGGTTTATTATATCCTGTGGTTCGTTTTTTCTTTTATTAACATAATGTCCAGGATTCGCATTTTTAGTATTTTAAAAGACATATATACATACATACATACACACACACACACACACACATGTATGTGTGTGTGTGTGTGTATGTATGTGTGTGTGTATGTATGTATGTGTGTGTGTGTGTGTGTATATATATATATATATATTAAAAATTGAAGAACAGCGATTCCTGGGTACATACATTTCAGTAAAAAAGGAAGCGATCACCAGGAAATAAAAAACCAAGGTTTTAATAAATAAAATCATGGCTATGCTTATAAGCAGGTTTCCTCACTAGCTAGCTTGTATCCTGACGATGATGGCAGATGCTAGCCATCGAAAGCTTGATTTTATTTATTAAAACCTTGGTGTTTTATTTCCTGGTGATCGCTTCCTTTTTTATTGAAATGTATGTACCCAGGAATAGCTATTCTTCAATTTTTAATGTAATTTTTAATATATATATATATATATATATATATATATATATATATATATATATATATATATATATATATATATATATTCTGTATGCCCTGTGAAGAAGGGCATATAGAAACAACAGACCCTGTGCTCCTCCAGTGCTTGTACTACAGAGACATCTGTATTTGCCTTCAAGAACAATTGATGGGAGGGCATAACACTGTGCCAGAGTGGAAGTTGAGTATGATCATCTAAACTCTGGCCTCAACTTTTGGGACTTGAAGGGCTGACCTTCAAAATTTGAATTAACAAATTCTAATAGTGCAAAGCTGGAAAAGGGGCCCAGTTAGGCACTATAAAGAAGTTGAGCTATTGGCTTAGCTTTGAATAGTTTCAACATGCTGCCAAAAAAAAATTGCATGGTTGCAGTCATATGTAATTAATATAACCTTATCTCTTAACAGACTTATTGTATCAGAAAACATTTAAAAAAATATTTAAGCTCTTTATTTACAAAGAAAAGCAGACCATTAATGAGGAAAGATAATTGATTTTTTTTTTTGTCCAAGGGCAGAAACCTGGAAGATAAAGGACAAGAATGTTCACTACTACCTCTAGCTTTCTACAAGAGATGGTAGAGCATTCTAGTTCTCAATAATCTTCCCTGATAGTCATCAAAGAGAATCAAATCTAAAGCACAATAGAAAATGTTTCTACCTTGCAGCATGGAATTTACCCCATTCTCTGAGCTCACCTTTGAATGATTTGGTAGAAAGCAATGGGCTCAATTAGCCAAATCTTCCTTATTACGCCAGTGAAAGCAGGCAAAGGAGTCGGCAGAAATGCTACTTTGTTGAATTTCTATCTGCACAATTACTTAATTACAAAAGAGTCCTACCAATTTGCTAATAAGAATTCTATTCATCTACCTATTGATCTTTTATCATATCTTTTATCATATTGATGTATTCACTGTGCTCCTTTTCATTGTGTTTTATTGTTCTATTGTTTAACTTTACACTCTTCATTTCTTCCTTTTTATTGCTGTAAGCCACCTAAAGTAGCCCCACAGCTTGATAGGTGGCAAATAAATTTAACAAATAATAATCTTGTGATATTGAATTCTAAGGAAGCTTTCAGTTCTCTTGAATATACCTAGGTTCAGTAATGGTTAGATAAGGGGGGAAAACGCAGCTGAAATCAAATCTAGACAATATATGGGGCTAATGGGACTACCGTATATTCTTTTTGAACGACCAAGTCTGAAGCCCAGAAGTGC